CTCTTCGCAGCGGGGGGCGCTCCCCGGGGGCGCGGGGGCGTGCGGGGGCGGGAGGGGGGGAAACCAGGGAGTAAACCCAGGACGAGGAGGAGGAGGAGGAGGAGGAGGAGGAGGAAGAACGGGGGGGATGATCCACACTGCCACACGAGAGGTCAGAGAAGGTCAGATGGATGAAACAACGGGGTGCAGCCACAGGAGAGGACCTTCTTGCACCACTGCGGGGGCGCCGTCCCACGCGGGGCCAGCGACGGGCCAGGCCCGAGAGAAGAGACGAGCAGACGCAGCGAGCACGACCAGGAGGAGAGGTGAACGAGGAGTGAGCAGCAGAAGGCCAGTGAATCAAGGACGTCAGGCGGGGCTGCGAGGCTGTTGCACGAGGCGAGCTCGGAAAGCCGAGGAGGAAGAGGAGGAGAGGGGGAGGAATAGAGAGGAGAGGAGGAGAGAGGAGGGGAGGAGAGAGGATGAGGAGGACAAGCTAGGCGCGCTCGCGCTATAGCTGACTTCCTAACCCCAACCACCCATCCCTTCCCATTGCGCTGATGTTTTCTCTGCCCGCCGACGCGTTGCATAGCGGGCCTGGAACTCCGAAAATAACATCTGCTGCCGCCAGACCCTAAACTGCTTTGCACAGTTACGATGGGGACCACGACAAGGGGGGCACGATGGGGGATTCGGATAGGGAAAGGGATACAAGGCTACGGAACAAAGGAATAGAGATATAATTATGTGGATCGGGACCTGGATTTAGTATGGACAACAAAAATAAGGACAACATTCTGAGGATAGGGGGATAAGGGTAGGGATAGGAGCCCGCTGAGCCCGCCAGCGTGCGAGTCTGTGTGCGAAGGGTTTTTCCGCTTGAGTCGTCGTCGCAGTCGTCGCCCCCCCCAATTCACTAGGCCCTCCTCCTCAGGCGATCCAGCCTGACGGAAATCAAACAGCGTCGTAATTGACTCGAGGGGAAGCCCCTTCCCTGCGATCCCTTCCCTGGCGGGGGGAGAAGGAGGAGGAGCAGGAGGAGGTGGAGGAGGAGGAGGAGGATGAGCAGGGGGAGGAGGAGGAGGAGGAGGAGGATAAGACACTGCCTGGGAGCGGCCGCGCTGTCAGTGCGCGCGATGGCCGCCACCGCGCAGAGAGGCCAGCACATGCGCCGCCTCGCGCATGCGAGAGGAGGCTGTCCCCCCACCCGCAGGATCGCGGGGGCAGCCCACAGGCGGACTTGGAATTATGGGATGGTGGCATCCAGCTGGAAAAAGTGAGCGTTCAGCCACCAGTGCACGTCGGTCGAAAGAAGTAGGTAGCAACACGAAGTAGGAAGGCGGATTACGTGGATTGGGTCCAGCCCCCCCCAGAGAACAACAAGACACAGCAAACACATGCCGATTATTGAATTAGGAAGGTGCTTGAAATATATTGGGATCTGGGAATCCAGAATAGGGGAACAAAAAGCGGCATAAACATAAAAACTCAAAGGTCCGCGCGAACTTCTCGGATCGGCGCTGGACCCCCCTCCCTGGCGCGCGGGGCGCGCCAGGGGCGGCGCCGGAGGCGCCGCCGGGGGGCCCCAGCGCCGATCCGAGAAATCCGCGCGGACCTCCGAGTATTTATGTTATGTCACTTTTTGTTCCCCTAGTCGCGCTCCGAACTCCTATGGCCACCTTCGCAATCGACGAGAAGGTGTCCCGAGGAGCTCGTGGAGCAAAAGCCACGGGAAGCGCAAACAACGCACTGCCCCGCAGAGACCCAGAGACAGTGGCCTCGCGAGGCCTCCGCAGGCACGATCCCCGAGGGTGGCAAGGATCGAGTGGGCACAGTGTAAGCGCCGGTGCGAGGCCTCGGATTCCGAACAACCTCCCTGTCCGACCTTGCGCGCTTTGGTGGAGCAAAAGCTTGGCCAGAACGCCCAGGGGCGGAAAAAAACTACAATGCCAGCCTGCATATGTTCAGCCCCCGCCGTCCTAATCTGGACGACCGGCTCAAAGGGCACACAACGACGGGCCGACCGAACCCAGGAAGGGCCCTCGGAGTCAGAACCGCCCGAGCCCAGGAGGTTCACGCCAGCAAGCCCAAGCGGGCCTTGGGGGCCGAGGCCAGGACGAACGGAGCGAGGCGACTCGGCGAGAGGGGAGACAACACGACGGCGCGCACCAGCGCCCATAAGGGTGCTATCGCCCCCCCCCCCCCCCGCCAACCGCGTCTCTCCTTGCCGACGCTCTGAGACCGCCCGCTTCTCGCTCAGCATCCGCACTGTCGCCCATCGGCGGCGCATCAGCCTCGGAGAGGGGAGTGCCCCAGTGGGCCGAGCAAGGAGGCGACAAACCCGAGCGATGTCGGCAACCCTCAGAGCCCACCCGCGGAGCCAGATGGGCATCGCCATGGGCACTGTGGGCAAGCAAGCAGACAGGGCAAGTGAGGAGCGAGAGGCGATAACGAGTCTTGTCGGTCTGAGAGCCTTTCTCACAAAAGCGACAGCGCCAAATGGATCGCCCTGGGATCGCACTAAACAGATGCCTCAGCCCCTGGGAATCCTGAGTCTTCGCAGGTCCGAGGGAAGAGATCGGACGCGGTCTGCGCGCCTTGGCCCTGGGCCGAGTGCCACTTCAAGGTGGCCTGGTAGCTCGAAGACCGATCCCCACGGCGTCGCTGAGCGGCTTTGGGATGCTATGCACATTACGACCATTCCTAGCCTAGCTCTTGGGTCTGCCCATCGATTGCCTATGGCATCGACGGTGTTGCCGCGCTGGTGGGCCTTGACCAGCTGCGCGGAGATGCCTGCCGCCAGGCCCCCATGATCTTCACTCTTGGACCACGTGACGTCCCGCAGGTCTACGTTAGACCGGCGGTGGGCTCGGCGCCAAGCGGGGCTGGGCTCCAGGCTATCAACCAGGCCCTTAAAACCCGCGCACGCAGTCAGCGGGGGGGGCCCGACCAAAAGGACCTGTAAGCATGCGCGCAGCTCTGCCCTAGGCGAGGTCAGCACAGACCCTGACAGGGCCCCATGCACTAAGAGGGCTACTCCTTACCCGAGAGGCCCCCGAAGTTGTGCAAACCCCCGGCCAGCCCTGGAACATGCATGCCAAGATCAAAGCTTGCGACATGTTCCATCCGCGTGCACTCTTCCCGATATTCCGCATGGACTACCGCGCTGCATGCACCGCCTGCCCGCGCAGCCTCGAGCAGGAAGCCCAGGACAACACGAAATGCCCACAAGGCAACGCGTCCAAAGTAAGTTATCTGCAATGCACGGCGGGAAACCCCTCGCGCCCACTGAATGCATGTGGCGCTGGCGTTCACCCGCCAGATGTGGGCATCTCCACCTGTTGCGCAAGGCGATCATTGCCTCTGTAACCGCACTGGGCAAGGCGATGCGGTGTCCACAACTGCCCCCCCCCCCCCCACACACACACTATAATACGTAACATCCCAGCCCCCCGATAGTCAGGCACCCGCCTACTTGCAAGTCATCAAGTAGTCTCGGGGTACTCATCTGGAGCGTGACCTTGTTGAGCAACTGAATCACAGGTTCCAGCCAGTAACCCAATGGCTCTCTGGCGGCGCAGGCCTCTCCAGGAAGCCCAGGCCTCGCGGCCCAACGCGCCCGCATTCTTCGGGCAGCAGCTTCGCGCGCAAGGATTTTGACAGTGGAAGGGGCGGTTTTCGTGAGGTCTACGAGGCCTCCGAATTCAGCATGTCAAATAAGGCCCGAAGTGGTGCTCCATTTGAGGCCCCCGAGGGCAAATACCGCGGCCCCTGCGGGCCCGCGCACATTACGCCAGGGGGCACTGGACCTGTGCAGCATACGACCCTGATTACTCCATGCCTGCTGAATGGCACTGGAAGACAACGACACATCTCGACATAACAGAGCCCACTGGTACAGCGGCGCAGTCCATGCAGCGATCTGCGGATCAGTGTACATCGTGCCCTGTAAACAGAGCTGGTCCAACTCGAGCTCGTAGAGCCTAGGACGTGCCAAGCCTGTCGCTGTATTGCGCGCGTGCGATCGGCGACCGGAGGAGGCGCTCCGTGGACGCCGATGCCATATTCCATGGCTGCTGGCAACGCCTGCTTTGCAAGTCTAGACGCCTTCGAATCTGCCTTGCGGGCGGCGCGAAGTCGGGGTGCACGTTTCGAAGCCTTTCGAACCCTGGACTTGAGCCTCGTGAAGCGCCACGCACGGCCAGACCCAACTTCGATACCCAGGACCTCGAGAGCACTGGCATGCGCGTATCCCGAAGATCCCATCGCCGCGCAAAGTGGTCTGCCTACGATGGGGATGGCAGGGGGTCGCTATCACGTTGTAACTCGCAGGTGTGGGGGGGGGCCAAGACGTCCAATACATGTAATGCGAGCCTCAGGGCCTGCACGGCCCTGCCCCCGATGCTGCTCAAAGTCCCCCTGACAGATGCAATAATTTCGCCCGCAGACAGGTCAACGGTGCGCGGGATGTGCGAGGCATTCTGGTAGAGAACATCAAAAGGCGTAAACATTATGCTCTGTAAAGCGAACATCGCACATGCACACCCTGGGAGAACCCCTCGAGACGCCCATATCCGATCCGAGTTACCGTTGCCCCAAACAAAACGCAGAGAACTCCTGTTCATGCGGATCGCAAGTGCGATAATCTGCCCTGGGAAGTTGCGATGCGAAGCCGATGTTGCCAGAAGCCCCCAACCCACTTTGCCGAAGCAGTTGGCGCTGTCAACGATGGCGTGCACCGACGCAAGTGGATCGCTGGAGGGCCCTGCAGCCTCCCCTAGGACAAGCGCGCGGCCTCGTCAGTCGTGGACTTCTGAACGCCCAGCCAGAAAAAAGCTATCGGACGGCATCCTCCTGTCGGCTTTCCCAGGAGGACTATGTGCGAGTGACTCACGCACGAAGGCCAGGTACCAAAGGACTCGCATAAATACGGGAAGTACGAGACCACAGCTAAACATTCATTGGATGCCAGTGCCCAGCGGCGCGGGCGAAGGCGGTCGGGCCCGACAGCCGCGCGACGA